CAACCTTTAATAACCATTGTCTCACTGTCCTTTTCACTTTCACTTGTGCTCATTTTAGCTCCTGCCCACTCCCTGTCCAAAGCCAATACAATACATACACACACACACACACACACACACACACACACACACACACACATATATATATATAAGCCTAAGCAACTGTTACGACCAAATGACCAGAATGACTAGTTGACCAGTCACTATGACGTTCACTGACCACCAGGGGGCAGATGCCCAACACAAAAGCTGCCCCTGGTGGTCGGTGCACTCCCATAGCCAACCTCCCACATCCAGCCAATCTCCTCCCCAGTCCCTCCCCACCTCATCTGGCAAACCTTCTGTAGTCCCTCCTCCCATTCAGCAGGCCCCATCTGGAAGGCTCCATCTGCCAGCCAGTAGGCTCTGGCCTGCAGCTGGCAGGCCCTGACCAGTCCAGCCCCAACTGGAATTGGGCGAGATGGCCCTGATAGGCCCTGATCACCAGCCAGGACTAGGGACCCCACCATGCACCAGGCCTCATATATATCTGATATATCTATCTATATCTATATCTATATCTATATCTATATCTATATCTATATCTATATCTATATATCTATACCTATATCTCCTCTATAATAAAAGGCTAATATGCAAATTGTCCCCTTGGCTGAGAGTTTGACTGGGAGTTCAACTGTGAGTTGGACCAGGGGGCAGGGTTTAACTGGGAATTTGACTAGGGGGCAGGGCCGGCTGGCCAACTCCCGAGGTCCCCACCTCGATTGGGGCAGGCTGGCCAGACCCCACCTGTGCACAAACTTGTGCACCGGGCCTCTAGAATATACATGCAGCTGTATCTAACTTCACCAATGTCAATATCAGGGGCTGATCAGGGAAGCAGCCCCACTGTGGAATACAGGATTTATTATAGGGATTACATGCACCACAACTGCAGACGAAGCTAAGGAAGAAAAGCTCTGAAAGGAGATAGCTGGAGGATGAGAGAAAATAATTAACCAGGGATCACAAAGAAAGCTACGGAAAACGTCTTTGAAAGTCTGTGCTACCTCTGCATCCAGTAATGGGCCTGAAATTGATAATACATCATGGCTAGCAGTCAGGAAGAAAAGTTGAATCGACTTGGGGGAGAGTGAGGACAAACTAGAATCCACAAGGACAAACTGGAACCCATGAGGACAAAGGGAACCCCTAGCTATCACGTTGTAATGCAGGTAGTCTGCAGAAGTTGATGTCCTTTCCCCAGAACTTGATGTGTGCCTTGCCCAGAGTTTGGAGAAGATGAAATAGAGATGTGATAGGAGCTGGAGGAATTGGGGTCCGGCTGCTGCTCTGCCAGCAGATCAGTAACAAACTTAGTTTGATCCTATATCAACCATTCAGAGCACAAGGGTGGTTTTACTTGTTCCTTCTAAATCTTATTAAGCTTCTGTTGTGGCCAATTCTATCCTGGAACCAGAATGAAATTTTGGAAGCTAAATTTCAGCTTAGCTGCATTGATACAGCACAAAACTTCCACATCAGTCAAACCTCAACAGTTGCCAGATACCATGGTGCTGTGTCTCACATACATTCGTTTTTCATTTAAGCCTCAGAGCAGTGTCTTAAGATAAATATTCGCACTCCCATTTTACATATTAGGAAATGAAGCCGGGTATTTGCTCGTAGAGAAGCAAATGGTGGAGCCTGGATTCTGTGTGATAACCAGCTTCCAAGATGGCCCCCGGGATATTTAAAACATATTATTTTTATTTATTTAAGAGAGGAAAGGAGAGGGAGAGAGAGAAAGAGAAAGAGAGAGAGAGAGAGAGAGAGAGAGAGAGAGAGAGAGAGAGAGAGAGAGAAAGAGAGGAATATCAATGATGAGAGAGAATCATTGGTTGGCTGCCTCCTTGCACCCCTCACTGGGGATGGAGCCTGCAACTTGGGCATGTGCCCCGGCTAGGAAATCAAACGTTCCTAGGTGGACGTTCAGCCACTGAGGATGGCCCCAGTGATTTTGCCTACTGGTATTCATGCTCTTCTGTAGTTCCCCTCCCACATGAACTAGGTCTGACTGAGCACCGAGTAGAATATTGCAGAAATGATGGTGAATGACTTTCAAAGGTGGGTCATAAGAGACATTGTAGCTTCCACCCTTCTTTTTCTAGGATCACGTGCTGGAGGAGGGAGGCGGGAAGCCGGTAGCCATGCTGTTAGGAGACTCACGTAGCCCGTGGACAGACCCATAGGGAGGAACTAAGGCCTTTTGTGAACAAGTACTTGTGGTGAATATTTTGGAAGTGGATTCTCCAGCACCAGCTACCCTTCAGATGACTGCAGCCTCATACCCCGCCTTGAAATCTCCCAAGAGACCTCAAGCCAGAACTATGCATTGAATTGGCTTCTACGTTTTGGACCGATAGAAACCATGAGATGATGTTTATTATTGCTTAAAGCTGTTAAATTTTGGGGTCATTAGTTACATAGTGATAGATAACTAATATAAACTTTTAGGTTCCAAAGCACAGCTTTTTCCATGACGTATTTTTTAAAAAAAAAAATTGGTTTGGATTATGAGGATGGATATTGTGGACGAAGTAGGAATTTGGGAGTTCAGAATGTCCTGGTTATGTGATTAAAAAAAAAAAAAAAGCTTTGAAATATCTGTTTGGGCTTCTAGATCCTGAGAGAGAAGGAGGCATGTCACCTAGTGGTGAAGCTGACCTCTCAGAATTAGGAGGGTTTCTTTATTTTGTCACTACCCAGGGAAAGCTGAGTTGATGCGAAGAAAATTAGAGGTTAAGTTGTGTGCTTCTGCTAACTAGCCGACTTGGGCTGGATTTGGGGAAGAAAAGTGATTGCATTCTAGCAGGTTAAGCTTCTGCCCCTTCCCTTCAACGAGGCCATTCTCTCCCCTGCCTTCCTCCCAACTCCCCCCCCCCCCTCCTCCCCCCCCCCCCCGCCCCATCTTCCCTTTGGTCACAGCCCCTTCCTTTCCTGCTCTTTTCAAATCCCTTTTCCTTATGATGCTCTTTTCCGTTTTTATAGCATACATATATACGTGTGCATTTAGGGACCTAAAAGAGAAAAAAAAAAAAACCCAACTGTTTCTGAGAACTGTCTCCTTTTGCAAACTTGTGGTATTTGTTCTCTCCATAACGTTCACATTTGGTCTTGGATCAGAGAGGTGAGGCACTGTGCCTGGTGACCTAATCAGGCCAGAACCATCCAGCCATGGTTATCCCAGGATGCAAGCACTTTAGGAGCCTTCCCAGTACATCTGGTGCAACCGTGTTCATTTAGCATGTGGCACATTTGAAGCACAAAGAGCTCAAGTTGCTATTGACACTCATTAGTGGAACCCTTACAAGGAGGCCTCTCTTCCGAGTTGGATAAATCCTTTTATTTATTTTTTATTTTAATTTTTAAAATATATTTTATTGATTTTTTACAGAGAGGAAGGGAGAGAGATAGAGAGCTAGAAACGTCGATGAAAGAGAAAGATGGACCAGCTGCCTCTTGCACACCCCCTATGGGGATGTGCCCGCAACCCAGGTAATGCCCTTGACCGGAATGGAACCTGGGACCTTCCAATCCGCAGATCGACATTCTACCACTGAGCCAAACCGGTTTCGGCTAGATAAGTCCTTTTAGAAGGTCCATCCATTCTGATGCACAGGATAGGTGGAGTGATTGGCTAGGGGCCTCCAGGTTTTTACGCAAGGGCAGAAGCACCAAGAAGAGCCCCATAACCCAGGCCAAACCCTTCCTAAACTGTAAACTGACCCTCAGTAGCGGGGGACGGTTAAAGGAAAGGTTGCTGGCCCTAGCTGGTTTGGTTCAGTGGTTAGAGCATAGGCCTGCGGACTGAAGGATCTCGGTTCCACTCCAGTTTGGGCATACGCGGGAGGCGGATGTGAGTGTGCCTCTCTCACATTTACATTTCTCTCTCTCTCTGTCTCCACCCCTCCCTTCCACTCTCTAAAAATCAATGGATCGGGTGAGGATTAGCAACAACAGCGACTCTAAAAACCCACTTTAAGCCTCATTTCTTGCCCCCAGATCCTGCTACATGGTAGGCATAAAAAAAACAACAACACACAGACACAAAAAAAAGTTTGCGAAATGAATAAACCAACTTCCCTCCTTAGCCCTTCCCGCCTCCCAACCCCCCTCATCCTCTCCTCTAGGGACTGCTCCCGCCTCCGGCTTTTTGGTGTCTCATCTCCGCAGACAGTGACCCCGTGCCCGGATCAGGACCAGGGCGCGCCCCGCTTTTGGAGGGACAGTCCTGATATATATATATATATATATATATATATATATATATATATATATATATATATATATATATTTTTTTTTTTTAATTGATTTTCCACAGAGAGGAAGGAAGAGGGATAGAGAGCTAGAAACGCTGATGAGAGAAAAACAACCTCGACCAGCTGCCTCCAGCACACCCCCCCCCCCCCCCCCTTGCCGGGGATGTGCCCGCAACCAAGGTACATGCCCTTGACCGGACTCGAACCTGGGACCCCTCAGTCCGCAGACCGGCGCTCTATATTCATTGAGCCAAACTGGGTTTCGGCCGGACAGTCCTGATGTTCAACAATTTTTCCCCGCGTCCCGCGGGGCGTTTTAAAAAAAAGTCCCGATTTTTTTTTTTTTTTTTTTTTTAAATCGGGATTTTTTTTAAAAACGCCCCGCGGGACGCGGGGAAAAATTGTTGCAAATCGAGACTGTCCGGCCCAAAGCCGGACGATCTGGTCACCTTGCCCCTGGGAAGGGCGCCGGAGCTCCAGGATGGCCCGGGCTGGCTCGGGGACCCCAGGGGCTGCGGGGGGCTGTGCAGCGGGACGGAGGGCCACCCGCGGCCCCGGGAGGGCGGGCGCCGGGGCGGGTCCCGGGTCCGGGGCGGGCCCCGCGGGGTCAGGTGACCGCGGCGGCGGCGGAGGCGGAGGGTGTGGGCCGCGGGGAGGTGGCTGCACAGGCTGGGCTGTCCCGGGAGCTCGGCCGCGGCCATGGGGGGCCTGAAGGACGAGCTGCTCAAGACCATCTGGCACGCGTTCACCGCGCTGGACCTGGACCACAGCGGCAAGGTGTCCAAGTCGCAGCTCAAGGTGGGCGCCCCGCCGCGCCCGCCTGTGGAAGGGGCTCCGCGGGGATGGCTCCGGGAGGGGCGGGCGGGCGGCTCCGCGTTGGTTCCCACTTGCCCGCGGGCAGGTGCGTGGCGCTAGTCCCCGCTGGGCTCCCGGGGCCGGGGGCGGGGGATCGGAGGTGGGGGGGATCTCGAAGCGGCGATCCCGCTGCTCTGGTGGCGCGGGAGGCCCCCCCAAAGTTTCAGACTCGTAGAGGGCGTGGGAAGCCCCCGTGGTGGAGCTGCCCCGGACTTACCCCTGAGTCTGGGGTAAAGAGGAGGGGGCGCAGGGGCTTCACCGCGGGGCCGCCCTCCACCCGGCCGGCTGCACCGGGGGTAACGGGGCGCTTCAGAGAAGGCAGAAGTGCCCCGATCCCGGCCTCCTCCTCCTCCTCCTCCTCCTCCTCCTCCTCCTCCTCCTCCTCCTCCTCCTCCTCCTCCTCCTCCTCCTCCAACTCCTCCTTGTCCAACTCCAACAACGGGGGCCTTTGGCGATGGGGGGAGCTGTGTGGTTTGCAGGGAAGGACCCCCGCCCAGCGCCCTGGGGTCTGGACCTGCTCGCGGGTGCGCGGGGTCCCCCAGGGACTTAGCCCCCGGGGCGGAGCGCCCTGCAGAGCCACTGCTCCCGCAGACCCTGCACCGTGACCGTCCAGTGAGGGTGTAAGGTATGAATAAAGGAATGCCTGTACACCGAGGAACCCCAAGCCGGGGAGGCGGCACCCAGCCAGGAGGGTTTGGCAGCGCCCTGAGGGTGTAAAATATGGAAACAGACAAGGAGAACCATTCACGGGCGTTTTCAGATACACACATGTTGGATCTGAAGGTCGGGTTTGCTTAGCCTCTTTCTGGAATTCATTTCTGAAGGTTGGCTTTTTTGCTCTGTGTGTTCGGTGCAGCCGTCAGGAGGTTCTGATTAGTGGCTTTTGTGCCAGTAGGAGTTAGCATTCCCTCCGGGTTTCTCTTTGCATACTCTTTTTTTTTTTTTTTTTTTTCCCCCCCTTCTCATCTATAAAATCATACTCTGAAGGATCCACGGAAGTCTGGGAAGGTCCGCAGAAATCATCCACCTAGTCTTTATTTTACTTGCTTTCTTAACACAGTAAAATGGACATTTTTGGTGCATGGTTCTGTGAGTTTTAACAGATTTGTTTAACCACCACCAAAATCAGATGTCCATCAGACCTCTCGTCCCAAGACGTTCCTTGGGGCTGCCCCACATCCTCCACTGTGGGCAGCCAGTGATCGTTCTTCATGGCTGTGACTTTGTCTTTCCCACAGTTTCATATAAATGGAGCTGTGCACGTATGTAGCCTTTTGACACTGGCTTTTGCTTTTTACAAAATATTTTTATTGATTTTTAGAAAGGGAGCAAGGGAGTAGGAGAGAAACATTGATGTGAGAGCAGAACATCCATTGGCTGCCTCCTGCATCCTGGCGCTTGAGTAGGCAACCCAGGATGTGCCCTGACCCAAAATGAACCAGTAATCTGGCAGTGCAGGGAGACACCCAAACAACTGAGCCACACGGGCCAGATGGACACTGGCTTCTTTTTCTTAAAAAAAACAAAGAAAAAACACACCATTTAAAAAATTGATTTATAGAGCGAGGAAGGGAGAAGGAACGAGAGATAGAGACATTGATGAGAGAGAATCATTGATTGCCTGCCTCCTGCATACCCCCTACTGGGGATTGAGAGCCTGCAAGCTGGCCATGTGCCCTGCCTGGGAATTGAACCGTGACCTCCTGGTTCATAGGCTGACTCTCAACCACTGAGCCACGCTTGCTGGGCCCTTCCTTCTTTTAGATTATTTGAATATATTTTAATATTTCATCTTATTTTTTTACTTATTGATTTTAGAGAGACACAGAGAGAAAGAGGAATATCATTTTTATCGTTCCACTTATTAATGCATTCTTTGGTTGATTCTTGTATGTGTCTTGGCGTATCCGGACAACCCTTAACCAACTGAGATACCTGGCCAGGGTTTAGGATTCCATTTTAATACTGTATTGTTTACTATATTTATTTGTATAGTTTTTATTTTTTATTTATTTATTTATTTTTAAAAAATATATTTTATTGGTTTTTTTTTTTACAGAGAGGAAGAGAGAGAGAGATAGAGAGCTAGAAACGTCAATGAGAGAGTAACATCGACCAGCTGCCTCTTGCACACCCCCTACCAGGCATGTGTCCGCAACCAGTGTACATGCCCTTGACCGGAATCGAACCTAGGACTTTTCAGTCCGCAGGCCGACGCTCTACCACTGAGCCAAACCGGCTTCGGCTATTTGTATAGTTTTTAAAGTAATTGTGATAAGGATTATAATATATGTACCTACCGTTTTACAGTCTGTTTAGAATTAATATTTCACCACTTGAGGAAGGTAAAAACCTTATCCCCACACAGGCCGCTTTTACCTCCCTGCTTTATTTGTTGTTGTCATATTGATTAATTTTCACACGTTGAAAACCTCTTCAGACAATGCTAAACATTTTCAACCATTGTTTTTATTTTAAAGATCTTTCAAGAGAAGAATAGCATTTTTTCCTCCCAGACCCTCCCAGATTCCTTCTTAATTTTATAGATAAGATAGATGGAAGCTTCTGAGATGTTTGGTGACCCGCCCGAAGTCATAGCTGTAAGTACAGTAGTAGCTAAATTTAGAACCAAGATTTTCAAACGCTTCTTCATTTTTTTCCTCTCCCAGTTGATTGCACAGGAGATATTTCCTGTTACTTTGTTAGGCTCCATAATTGTCCCGGTGGCTGCTATTAGAAGTGTTCAGATTATTCTTGACGGCAGGATTGGCAGGAAGTAGTCAAATCCCCGTTCATACTTTTCATCCACAAGATGCTGATAATGCGACTGTGCAATTGTATTTTTCCTCTTCCTGTCTACTTCGCCGAGAGACTTTGGTATTGATCTAGTTCTGTTCATCTTGCCAATGTTCCTGGAATTGAAAATTGAAAAAGGACAACAACTTTTACTTATGTCGTTATTTGCTTTGTCTGTGACGTTTGATGTTCCTCAGTGTATTGGCTAGGCCTAGGGTTTTTGCCTTAATTTGTTCGTTCATTCGTTTGTTCACACAACAACCTTTTGTGTGCTTACTCTGTGTAAGGTACCAGGATAATTTCATAAAACGGTTAGTATTTGTGAGCTCTTCCTAGTGAGTATCTCCTGGGAGGAAATATAGTAGGGACTCTCCCAACCCCCATCCGCGGTTCAACTTTTCACGGTTTTGCTTTCCATTGTTTCGGTTACCAGTAGTCAACCATTGTCCAAACACAGTACATTAAAAATTCTAGAAATAAACAACTCACGTTTTAAGTTGCCCGCCATTCTCAGTAGTGTGATGAAATATGACTGATGTCATGTCCCAAACCCCATCCAACCCAGTTCCTCCCCACACCATCCATCCCAGTCCTGCCCCGGACGTGAATCTTTTGTTTGTCCGGTATATTCACACCATATACACTGTTAGTTCACTTAGGAGCCATCTTGATTATCAGATCAGTTATTGAGAGAGACAACATTCACAGAACTTTTATTACAGTATTGTTGAAATTGTTCTGTTTTATTATTAGTCATTATTAGTTGTTCTATCTTATTATTATATTTTATTATTAACATCTCTTACTGTGCCTGGTTTATAAATTAAACTTTATCATGGGTATGTTCCTATAGAGAAAAACATAGCATACATAGAGTTTGGTATATTCATGGCTTCTGGCATCCACTGAGGGTTTTGGAACATATCTGCTAATTATAAGGACTATTGTAATTATTTCATAAAATAGCAGACCGAAAATTACACATCCAAAATGATATTACATATGCAGTTGAACATTTTGGAAAAACTATGGGCATTTTAAAATATTTTGACATTTGTCAATTTTTGACACAATGAATGGATACATTCACTAATTATTTAATGAACTAGATACTGTGCCCAATGCTAATAGTAAAGGTGGAGGAAAAATAAACAAATATGAGTTTTTGCCTTCAAAGAGTTTAAACTTGGTAGGGAAATAAAGAAAATGATCAACCATTAGAGAAGGCGAGATATCTATAGATATAGATAGGTATACATCAGACAATTACTGTTTCTTTAAGAAATATAAAGTCTGGTTATAGAGATAAGAAATACAGAAATATTACCCTGATTTTTGTTGTTGTTGATATTGTTAATTCTCACCAGAGGATATTTTTCCTTTATTTTTTTTTTTTTTTGAGTGAGTGTGAGGGAGAGGGTGAGGGTGAGTCAGAGAGAGAAACATTGATGTGAGAGAGACACTTCATTAGTTTTCTCCTGCACGTACCCCATCCAGGGCCGGGAACCTGCAATTAATTTATGTGCCCTTAACTGAAATCAAACCTGAGACCCTCCAGTCTGCAGTTCAACACTCTATCCACTGAGCCAAATCAGCTAGGGCGAGACAGCTAAAGCTCCTGCCCTCGCTGGTTTTCTATATCATTTTTGTTTTTGAGGTCTTTGATGGCTGGATATTTAACTGGACATGATGGGAAGTGTGAGGCTGTTGGTACAGGATCTGGTGGTTGAAGCTTGGAAAAAGGAGAGAAAAGATTCATCAATGTCCTTGGGCAATGGTTATAGTAGGTGGTGAGAGGAAGAGTAAAAGATAGGGGACCAGAACCAGAAATAAGAACACTTTATTATTATAATTACTAGAGGCCCGGTGCACAAATTCGTGCATGGGGTCTGGCTGGCCTGCCTGGATGTGGGTATATTGGGCTGGGCTGGGAGAGGAGGGGCCATGGGCGGTTGGCTGGCCAGCCCTGCCCCCGATCAGGGTGTTGGAGGCTGATTGGAGGCGGGGCCAGCTGAGGGGAGGGGTTGTAGGAGGTTGACTAGCCAACCCTGCTCCTGATCAGGGTATTGGCGGCTGATGGTGGAAGGGAGGGGAGGTGGGGGCCTGGGTTGTCCTCGGGGAGGGCCATTCGGGGCCTGGATCAGGCT